TTTTTTTTTTTTTTTTTTTTTTAATACAAGGGTATTATTGAAACTTTTGAAATACCATATAAGGTATTTTTGATACGGAGTATAAAATTTATGAGTATTTTTATTAATTTAATCGAGTCAAAATTGAAGTTATAACTTTCACCGAAAAGAGTTTAGAACGAAGGATGAAAATCTACCTAAGGGTATCATGTCGAGGAATCTTTGGTTATAATTTTGAGTATGAGTACTACATACAAGGCAAGAACGGGGATCACCACCTCATATAGATCACTTGTGCTATATTCGAGCAGTGTGGCGGACGTAAAAGAGCGACAGAAACTAGAGGGGAGGACACCCATTATGGTGGTCGAGCGACCGTTAGATGTCCTTTATTAAAATCATCGTTACGGAATCTCTTTACCTTTATAAACGTTTCAAAACTATTCTTGGAGTAAAAAAGCTGTCAGAACATTGAAAAAAAAATTGAGATTCAGAACAGCGTGACAGTTACGATCTAGAATGAACGTTAAGAAGTCACTGTCGCATCATTTCAGGTCCTAATTTTTGTCCAAAATTCTAACGGGTTTCCATTTCGAGTAGTTTTGAGACGTTTATGAAATATAAAAGGCGTTCACCAGCATATCTCAAATATTTAATATTATTATTATTTCATTCTCGAGATGAAAAAAGAAATAAAATATAACCCAAAATAAATGGGTTTCAATTCAAAATTTCAAGTCCGGTTCTTGGTGGGTTGATGCAGGCTTGGATTTCTTCTAATGTTTTCCCTTTGGTTTCTGGCACTAATTTGGCCACAAACACAATAGTCAACAAAGAGAACCCTGAATAAACAAAAAATGTCCCTACAAAAATAAAATAAAATAAATAAATAAATATTAAAACACCAATAAAATCCATTAATTAATTAATTATTTATTTATTTATTTAAACAACTTGAAAGGAATTACCTGAAGGACTCCAACTCATGAGGAAGTTGAAGGTATAGGAAACAGCCCAAGCACCTAACCAATTCACCAAAACCACCAAGCTCCCAGCAGCTCCTTTCACATGAATTGGGAAGATCTGTCATCAAAATTGTCTTTAGGTTCGAGAAACGGTTCGAACTACGAGTATAATGAACCCGAACCCTAACCCTTTTATAGATATTCGAACGATTAATGTAAATTCAAATTGTCTTTAGGTTCGAGAAACTTCTACGGGTATAATGAACCCGAACCCGAACCCTAAACCCTATATAGATACTTGTGTCTTTAGGTTCGAGAAACTTCTACGAGTATAATGAACCCGAACCCTTAACCCTTTTATAGATATTCGACCGGTTAATGCAAACTCAAATTGTCTTTAGGTTCGAGAAACTTCTACGAGTATAATGAACCCGAACCCTAAACCCTTTTATAGATATTCGACCGGTTAATGCAAACTCAAATTGTCTTTAGGTTCGAGAAACTTCTACGAGTATAATGAACCCGAACCCTAAACCCTTCTTTGGATATTCGAGCGGTTAATGCAAACTAAAATTGTTTGGGTTTGAGAAATTTTTCGAACTACGAGTATAATGAACCCGAATCCTAAACCCTTCTATAGATACTCGAACAGTTAATGCAAACTCTTACAAAAGTGTTTGTTTCATCGATGAGGTTTGGGAGCATCAGGGTAAGAAGCTAAACCTATATTTGGTACACGTGGTTTATTTACGGTGTCGATTTACGGTGACACCCTGACATTTACGAGACCATAAACCTACCAACCATATACGATCCTCTCGTAATTCGAAAAAAAATCTTACTTTTACTCGAAAAATTTGTTTAACGGTAAGATGAAAGAACATCGATGCCATGTTACCCTCCCTTCTTTTTTGCAAATACGCTCCTATAATTTGATATAATTGCAAATACGTCCCCGATAGTTCGGTGTCGTGTCGGTAAGAAGAGGTGAATTTGCAATTGTATGAAACTAAGGGGGTGTAATTTTGTGCATTTGTATGTATTGACACGTGGATGGATATTGAATAAGTTACCTCAGACATGATGACCCATGGAACAGCTCCCATTCCTATGGAGAAGGATGCTATGTATGTCTGAATTTGAAAGTGAAACAAGTGTAAGTTAGCCAATGTGAAGAAAAACAAAAACAATCTCGTTTGATAACGATTCCGTTTTTAGTTCTTAGTTTTCAAAATTTAGCTCGGTTTTCGACATCAGCTTTAGGGAGTACATAACAAAGTAAAGAAACTCGTGTTTATAAAATTTTAGTTACCAGGACTCCGGAAATGGCAAGGATCGGGACCCAAGCGAGCAACAAGCCATGCCCCTACATCATAAACGAATTTACAAACAACATCAAGACAGAAACTATAACAGTCCAAGCCCACCGCTAGGGAGAGGTTTCCACACCCATATAAGAAATGCTTCATTCCCTTCTACAACCGATGTGGGATCTCACAATCCACCCTCCTTGAAAGCCCAGCGTCCTCGCTGGCACACTATTTGGTGTCTGTCTCTGATACTATTTGTAACAGCTCAAGCCTATCGCTAGCAGATATTGTCCCTTCCCCCAAAGTTTTTAAAACGCGTCTCCTAAGGAGAAGTTTCCACACCCATATAAGAAATGCTTTGTTCCCCTCTCCAACTAATGTGGGATCTCACACTCCACCCTCCTTGGGGCTGACACACTGCTCGGTGTCTGACTCTAATACTATTTGTAACAGCTCAAGCCCATTGCTAGCAAATATTGTCTTCTTCAGGCTTTCCCTTTTGGGCTTCCCCTCAAGGTTTTTAAAACGCATCTATTATGAGATCTCACATCAGTTGAAGATAGGAACAAGGCATTCCTTATAAGGGTGTGGAAACCTCTCCCTAGTAAACACATTTTAAAAACCTTGAGGGGAAGCCCGAAACAGAAAACCCAAAAAGGACATCTACTTAGAATGAACTTGAGCCATTACACAAACAAAACAAAACGAAACGAAATGAAACGACAAGTTTCCTAATGACGATGGATCGAGTATACATACCTTGAGAAAAAACGAAGTTCCAGCTAGAAAGCACCCTAGAAACGTCCCACTAGCAGACACCTTCAACGACATATAAGCCACATCAAAAGGTCATCAAACTTAGCTCTTTCCTTCCTTCAAATGTTCATATATCAAGAAACAAGATGCAAGAGATTCATACCATTATAAGCGGCTTACGCCCCGACTTATCCATAAGAATCGCTCCGATCACCGTTATCGGAACCTGTTAATACCAACCTCGTTTACTTAATATCACAGCTGAAAATGGTAAGCTAAGTGTCAGCTATCAAAGTACCTGAAGGCAAGCATAAGAAATGGTACCACTTTTGCTTGCTGAGGGGCCTGCAGTTCATATCACAAGAATTGTTAAGCAAATATAGAAGCAATATAAATGAAGAACAAGGCAATGTTTGTTCATATCATACCAGCTAATGCAAAGGTTTCACTTGCATAGAAACCAATTCCATTGATGCCTCCAAATTGTTGGAATATCATTAGCCCCACACCGATCTAAACAATAATCATTAAAGTTATGCATGGAAAAGCGAATTCAAGATGAAGTTTCACAAAGAAAATGAAGAACATTACAATAACAGGACGAATATATTTGCTTTGGAACAGTTCTAGGAGTCTGGCTTTTGGAATTCTTTGAAGTGTTTCATTGTAATCCTGTTCGTAAAACGAAGAGTTCGTTATTTTTTTAGAAAACGATGATGTCGTCGGGGATCCCGACGACGAAGATTAGGAGAATTACTTTGATTTCAGCTGCCTCGTCGGAGATATCGACGTCTTTTCCACGAAGTCGCTGCAATGCAGCTTGGAAGCCTTTCTCGTTACCGACCTTTGCCTGTAAAGAAGTTGAGTCGTTAGAAAGTCAATCCAAACACGCGCTTAGTTTTATGTTCGTTTGTTTTTTGATTTGGAAAACACAAAGTGAAAAGGGTCGGATTTAAGGAATGGTGTATTACGAGCCATCGAGGCGACTCTGGAACGAACCATAGACCAACGATCAAAAAAACACATGGAATGATTCCTGCATATCAATGTCAATCATTCAGTAATAGGTTTAATAGTTAAAGTGTGAGATCCCACATTGATTGAGGAAGGGAACGAAGTATTTCTTATTAGGATGTGGAAATCTCTCCCTAGTAGACGCGTTTTAAAATCGTGAAACTGACGGTGATATGTAACGGGTTAAAGCAGACAATATCTGCTAACAGTGGGTTTGAGCTGTTACAAATGGTATTAGAGCCAGTCACGGAGCGGTGTGCCAGCAAGAACGCTGGACTCCTCCGAGGGGTGGATTGTGAGATCCCACATCGGTTGGAGAGGAGAATGAAGCATTTCTTATAAGGGTGTGGAAACCTCTCCCTATACGTAACAGACCAAAGCGGACAATATCTGCTTACGGTGGGCTTGGGCTGTTACAAATAGTATTAGAGCTAGTCACCAAACGGTATGCCAGCGAGGACACTGGGCTCCTAAGACTAATGGATTGTGAGATCCCACGTCGGTTGGAGAGAGAAACGAAACATTTCTTATAAGGGTGTGGAAACCTCTCCCTAGCAGACGCGTTTTAAAATCGTGAGGCTGACGATGATACATAACGGGTCAAAGCGGTCAATATCTGCTAGCAGTGGGCTTAAGCTATTACAAATGGTATTAGAGCCAGTCACCGAGCGGTATGTTAGCGAGAACGTTGTGCTTCTAAGAGGGGTGGATTGTGAGATCCTACATCAGTTGGATAAGTGAACGAAACATTTCTTATAAGAGTGTGAAAACCTCTCCCTAGCAGAAGCGTTTTAAAATCGTGAGGCTGATAGCTATATGTAACAGGCTAAAGCAGACAATATTTGCTATCGGTAGGCTTGGACTGTTACAAATGGTATCAGAGCCAGTTACCGAGCGGTGTGCCAATGAGGATGCTAGGCTCCTAAGAGGAGTGGATTGTGAGATTCCACGTAAGTTGGAGAGGGGACAATGTCTATTACCGTACCAGTTAAAGCGAGAGTTCTCCATGATATCACTGTTCCTAACAAGAAGGCAACAGATGAGCCTGTAACAATCATAAGCTGCACCATAAATAAAGAAGCAAATGAGAATCCCTTTGTCATTTAAAAAAGAGTCTATTTTTTTCATACTCTTTACCTGATTGAGTGTTGTGAGGCCTCCACGTAGATTCTTTGGGGCTATTTCCGCTATGAATACAGGAACCTGTTGTTGTTTGGAGTTAAAACATGAAATGTAACGACCCAAATCTACCGCTAGCAGATATTGTCATCTTTCGGGCTTTCTCTCAAGGCTTTAAAACGCGTCTGTTAGGGGAAGGTTTCCACACCCTTATAAATGATGATTTGGTCTCCTCCCCAACCAATGTGGGACATCACAATCCACCCCATTCGGGACCCAGCGTCCTCGCTGGTACTCGTTCCTTTATCCAATCGACGTGGGACCACCCCCAAATCCACCCTCCTTTGGGGTCCAGCATCCTTACTAGCACACCGCCTCGTGTCTACCTCCTACGGAGAACAGCGAGAAGGCTGGCACATCGTCTGGTGACTGGCTCTGATACCATTTGTAACGACCCAGATTCACCGCTAGCAGATATTGTCCTATTTCGGGCTTTCCCTCAAGGCTTTAAAACGCATCTGCTAGGGGAAGGTTTCCACACCCTTATAAATGATGATTTGTTCTCCTCCCCAACCAACATGGGACATACTCATACAAGAGGAAAGAAGAAAGCTATGCAAACTTTTACCACATAAGAGAAAACTCCAATCCCATAACCAGTGAGCACTCTTCCAAAGTATAGAGATAAAGCTCCCTTTGAGAGAATCACAGGCAAAACAAGCAAGGTCAGTAAGGTAATATTGCTTATTCTTAGTCAAAGATCACGTGTTCGGAAAACGCTGCATAAAGCTCGTACCGTCGATAAGTAAACCGCTAGCCAACCCGTAATGCAGAATATAGCTGAAACTCTCATAGCCTGCACATATCAAGCGGATTATTATATAGTTAATGTAATAACCCAAGTCCATTGCTAACAGATATTTGTCCGTTTTGGGTTGTTACGTATCGTTGTAGGCCTCATGATTTTAAAACGCGTCTGCTAAGGAGAGGTTTCCACATCTTTGTAAGGAATGTTTCGTTCCCCTCCCCAACTGACGTGGGATCTCACAATCCACCCTCCTTGGAGGTCTAGCGTCCTCTCTGGTATACTGCTCGGTGTCTGGCTCTGATATCATTTGTAACAGCCCAAGTCCACTACTAGCGGATATTATACGCTTTTGCTCATTACATATTGTCGTCAGACTCACAGTTTTAATACGCATCTGCTAGGGAGAGGTTTTCACACCTTTGTAAGGAATGTTTTGTTCCTCTCTCCAACTGACGTGGGATCTCACAATCCACCCTTCTTGGGGGTCCAGCATCCTTGCTGACACACCTCTGGTGTCTGGCTCTGATACTATTTGTAACAGCTCAAACTCACCGATAGTAGATATTGTTCGTTTTGGTCTGTTACGTATCGTTGTCAGCCTCACGATTTTAAAACGAATGTGCTAGGGAGAGGTTTTCACACACTTATAAGGAATGTTTCGTTTCTCTCTCCAACTGATGTGGAATCTAATAATCCACCCTCCTTGGGGGCTCAACATCCTCGCTGACACACCGTCCGGTGTTTAGTTCTGATATCATTTATAACAGTCCAAGCCCACCGTTAGCAGATATTGTCCGCTTTGACCCGTTACGTATCGTCGTCAACCTCACAGTTTTAAAACACGTATGCTAGGGAGAGGTTTCCAGCCCCTTATAAGGAGTGTTTTGTTTCTCTCTCCAATTGATGTGGGATCTTGGGGGCCCAATATCCTCGCTGGCACACCGCCCCGTGTCTGACTATGATACCATTTATAACAGCCCAAGCCTACCGTTAGTAGATATTGTCTATTTCGGTCCGTTACATATTGTCGTCAACCTCACGGTTTTAAAACATGTCTATGCTAGGGAGAGGTTTCCACACTCTTATAAGAAATGCTTCGTTCCCCTCTCCAACCGATGTAGGATCTCACAGTTAACGATGGAAAAAAAACTCAAAATCCGACTAATTTACCCCTTTTCGACCGATGAAGTCTGCAATCGGACCGCTCGTTACGGCACCAACCATTGCTCCAATTGTTAATATTGATCCAAACATGGAGTACTGTCATTAAAACTCAAAAAGTTAGAAGTCGCTTGCTAATCTGAGACACTTTATGTGAAAAGAGAGAAATAAACCTGAGCAAGAGAGAGATGAAGTTCTTCCCTGATCACAGATTGAGTTGGTGCTGAATAGCCCACCTGCAAAAAGTACAACACAACTTGAACAAACCTTTTCCATTTTTGTTTCCCTTTTTTCATATTTCCTAATCTGATTCAAATTTAACGAAAGACGTGTTTGAGAGTGATTTTGTGAGATCCCACGCCAATTGGAGAGGGTAACAGACGCTCGGTTTCAAAGGGATGGATTGTGAGATCCCACATCGTTTGGAGAGAGGAACGGGTGTCAGCGAGGATGCTCGGCCCTGAAAAGAGTTGGATTGTGAAATCTCACATAGTTTGGAGAGAGAAACGAGTGTCAGCGAGGACGCTTGGCCTCAGGATGGATTATGAAATCCTACATCGTTTGAAGAGAGGAACGGGTGTCAACAAGGACGCTTGGCCCTGAAAGGGGATAGATTGTGAGATTCTGCAGTGTTTGGAGAGAGAAACGAGTGTCAACGAGGACGCTCAGCCCTGAAAGGAATTGGATTGTGAAATTTCACATCGTTTGGAGAGAGGAACGAGTATCAGTGAGGACACTCGGCCCTAGGATGAATTATGAAATCCCACATCATTTAGAGAGAGGAACGGGTGTCAGCGAGGACGCTCGGCCCGAAAAGGGGATGGATTGTGAAATCCCACATCATTTGGAGAGAGGAACGAGTGTCAGCGAGGACGCTGAGCTCTGAAAGAGGGTGGATTGTGAGATCTCATATCGATTGAAGAGGGAAACTAAGCATTCTTCTTAAGGGTGTGGAAAACTCTCCTTAGCTCCCTAGCAGACACGTTTTAAAAATAAAATTTTTGAGGGGAAGTCCAAAAGGGAAAGCTCAAAGAGGACAATATTAGCTAGCGGTAGGCTTAGACGATACGCATGACTTTTCATATAATCAGTAATGCTTTTGAAAATGAACAAAAGTCGTGATACTAACTATATCACTCTCGAACATGCTCTAACGTTACAACGACGACATTCACACAAATAGAACTTACACACGATCCGAATTCAAAGGAACCATAAACAGCAACCAATGTGCAAAGCAAGACCATCCATAAGGAGGGCTCTCTTTTCATGGCTCTTTGAGCACCTTCACATTCAGAAGAACTGATAAGAAGAGGCTTTTCCAAGACCTTTAGGCCATTGATTTCACCATTTTCGACATCCTTGTGCTTCCCAATGGCCATGGCAGCCTCTCGACAGAGCTAAGAACAAGAACACAGGACAGTTAGCAGAGACTAATGAAGAGAGGTAGGTAGCAAATTGAAGCTTAAATAGAAACTGGTGGAAGTGGCAATAGATATTTATAAGATATTTGTCCAAATGTGTAAAATGAGCCATTTCCAATGAGGACAGATCTGGATTTGCAAATGGGCAAAGCTGTCACTGACGTGGAGATTATTACAGCTGCCGCTTTGGTCTTGAAATAGGACAGACATTCACTGCAACTGCAGAGAAAACATGCAATGATTGAGTGTCTTTTTCTACTTATCTTCCTATGAGTTATGAGTCTATTAATAATAAATGTTTGGAAAAGGAATTTTTTTATTTAAAAATTCTAAATATCTATGTACATTAATTCATTTGGACGGACCAAAATTTTTCACAAATTATTTAAAGACCTCAATACTATTTTGGCCGTGTAATTTCAATTATGCGTAACGAGTCAAAACGGACAATATCTTAGCGGTGGACTTGAGCTATTTCAAATAGTATTAGAGCCAGCATTGGATGGTGTACCAGTGTTTTAGCGATGAACTTGGGCTATTTCAAATAGTATTAGAGCCAGCACTGGATGTTGTACCAATGTTTTAGCGGTAGACTTGGGCTATTTCAAATAGTATCAGAGCCAGCCAACACTGGATGGTGTACCAGCGAAGACACTAAGCCCTCAAAAAAGGGTGGATTGTGAGATCCCACATTGATTGAAGTGGGAGATGAAGCATTCATTATAAAAGTGTAGAAACCTCTCTTTAGTAGATATAAAATTATGAGGCTAATGACAATACGTAATAGGCCAAAACGGACAATATCTGCTAGCGGTGAACTTGAAACGTTACAAAACCTTACGTGTCTTAATTCATCAAGTCCATACACTTGCAATTCCAATTATAACCTTATGGAAAGTCCAATCCAATCAATTTCTATACGGGGTTTGAACATTTGTGTTGATATTATGTAATATGTTCTTCTCTACATAGAAAAGCATAAAAATCAAATGTAGCGTTCTTACAAAAGTAGAAAGTAAGTTGACAATGTTACTTGCTATCTATATTCCCCATCCAATGCCTGTTTGATGCAAGCTGCGTAGAGTTTCTGAATTAGGTCATTATTGTGGTAACAAAGCCAGCTTGGATCATCTGAACGTAAGAGAATCAAGTAACTTTTTTTTCCTCATTCAAAAATTATACGAAGAAATATGAAAGAATATACAAATACGTACAGAAGAAACAGCATAAACACATTTAGACCGAAGAAATACGAAAGAATATATAAATACGTACAGAAAAAACAGCATAAACACACTTAGACCGAAGAAATATGAAAGAATATATAAATACGTACAGAAAAAACAGCATAACAACAGGAGATATCTCAAAGAAAGAGACTCAATCTAACCGAATCAAGTCGAGCTGATAATAACAAAATTTTGAGAAATAGAAGCCCTCAAATCAGCATTCAACCCATGGTCAAATCAAATACAAGCTATCTACATCAACGGATATTTACTGAGTTATAAGAAAACAAACCGAACACGTATGTCTACATCGATTTTTCGTTTCACATTAAGAATCGTGATGAAGAAAATCACGAGATACCGAGGTATAGAGATGAGTTCATGACAACAATCCAAAAGGGGCTGCCAAAAAGATTGGTTCATCTTCTGTTTGCAAGAATGTATCGGGTTCGCAATCCGAAGAATACACAAAAGAGTGCATTGTTATGAAGAAAACAAGGTTAACTCAGAGAAGGTAGGCAATAACAACAGTACTTGCTCATTTGCAAACAAGAATAATTTATTGGAATCAGTTTGCATATATGAAGGAAATCATTCCAAGGGACATGCTTTCTCAAATGCTTCCTGCTCTTTGCGACATAAATCGAACTCATTCGTATTGTAGTACATGCAACCGACGTAAGCATCCATATCTTTCGTGCACCTTTGATGAAGATCTTTAAGCCTGCAAGGAGGAGAAGCAGCCTCTACGTTCATTGTTTTATAATTTTATTATGAAACCGAGTTTTCGTTGAACAATATAAAAGAATATACGCGCATTCAAAAAAAGGAGACCCGAAAACTACTTAAAAGAACTCCAATCCAACATAATCAAACCAAGATTATATTTCTGTATCTAGGTGAGTTATTTCAACAAGTATGGCTGTCAAATTTGAAACTGATAAGATTGGTGCGGCAAGTGAGAGAATACAAACAAAAGATGTCTCACTCACAAAATATCCAGCTAAAAAGTGACAAAAAAAGTGTTAAAGAAAAGGACAAAATTGCAAAAGACGAGAAAGTAAAGATCAGTCAGAGTCAAAGATTACAGAATATCGACCAACTAAAGAAAAATGGATACTGTTCCTTTTTTTTTTTTTTCTTCTTAATAAACTATCATTGAAACAAATCTGAAGTAGCATTATTGAAACAATAATTTGCAATTCAATATATCTGGGAACTCAAAAAGAAAAAAAAATAGATAGATCTGGGTATTTTATATTGAAATTTCTGTACATTATAGATCAGTTTAGGGATTTACAGCTGATCATGCCAATAATCTTAGTTTACAATTATACCTTCCAACATTCATCTACTATTTTATGAAATTTTAGCTAATTGGACTGCCCCATTGACTCTGGGGTTGGCTCTCCACCCTCGTTGTGTACATCATTTATCTAATGAAATGTCATATTTCTTATTATCCAATTAAAAATATAGTGGATGTACTACTTCATAGATATCAAAATCAATATAATGCATAATCCATGCTGCAGTACAATTCGTCTAGGACCCAGATTTTTTTTTTAACAAGAAACCGAACTTTCATAGAGAAAAAATGAAAGAATTACAAGGACATACAAAAAAACAAGCCCGACAAATTTTGAAGATCCCATTCCAAAACCTCATCAAACCTCGCCATACAACTGGTCGAAGATCCTATCATTACTATAAACTATTAGTATTCAAATATGTAACCATTTAATGAACCACGAACGATGGTTCAGTTGAAGTTTTTTTTTTTTTTTTTTTTTTTTTTTTTTTTTTTTTTTTTTTTTTT